TATGCTCTCCCATGCCGTAATGTCATGTGCGTACCAGCGTGTTATCAGGTGGAGTAGGACAAGATGATGCAGGACACACACATACATACATATATATATATATATGAAGGGAGAAAGAGAGAGAGGCAGGGAAAAAAGGTGTGGTAATGCCATCCTTCTGACGTGTGATTGAGGAGGCCTACCCCTCTCCCTCTCCCTCCCCATTCTTCTCAGGCTACAGGCGCTAAACAAGCCAAAAAGACAATGAAAATAACACCAATAACAGGAAAATCACACGCAGTTGTCATGATAAAAATATATGACAATATTAATTATTATTAGCATTCGCAAATTGGATTGTCGCCGCCCCCTCTTTTCTTTATGCTTCGAATCCCTTTTGTTGGCCGGTTTATCCTCCACCACCCCGCCTCCCTTCGGTGAGGGGGGGGTTTGGGGTGGTGGAGGCGAATATTCCTTCCCGCACCAACTCGTATCCCTTGAAGCATTCAACCAAAAAATCCATTTCTCTTTCCTCCCGCATCTAATAATAATAATAATAACAGGAAACACACAACGTTGTATGCGAAAGCACACACACACACACACACAGACTATATTTATATATAGGATTAATTACAAAAAAAAAAAAAAAAAAGAAGAAACCGTAGAGGTACACACATGTACAGCTATAAAAGTGCGGGTCTGTGAGGCTGAACCTCCCATCCCACTGCAGTGCCTTCATCCCGGTCCGCCCCCACCTTTTTTTCTTTTTTTTTTTTTAAATATTTTTTTTTTATATTTTACCCGCCGCTAAAGGCAGAGAGACCCAAGAACGGGATGTGGCACATCAAATAGAGAATATAAAAGCAGAAACAAAACAAAACAAAACAAAACAAAACAAAAAAAAAAAAAAAAAAAAAAAACGTACAAACACACACGCAGAAAAATCAAAATAGGGAATAAACACAGACGGACACACACACACACACACACCAACAGCAACAGCAACAAAAGAAAACATGTAAGATAGAACCACCACTACCACCACCACCACCACTAAAAAAGCGTGGGGGAAAAAAAAAAAGAAAGAAAGAAAGAAAAAAAAAATATATTTGATAAAGTTTTGGTAATGTCTTCTTTGGCTTGCCTTTTCGTTCTCCTTTTGAAAATGCTGCCGGTTAAATATAAATCTTTAATATATATAAACATGCACTGAAAAAAAAACCCCGCCCCAAATATAAACAAAAAAAAAAAAATGGAAGGAAAGAAGGAAAGAAACACACACGCACACACAAAAAAAAAAGGCAAACAAACAAACAGAAAATACACACATACATGTGTAAATAATAATAAAAATAATAAAAATGTCTCATTTCCTTCGTGATCTTTTTTTTCCCCCATTCCCCTCTCCTTTTTTCTTTTTCCCCGCCGCAAATACATAAAAAATATATATAAAATAAGCACATAGATACATACATACAAATATAAATATAAACATATGTATTTATCACATTTCCAACGTGTTGACAAAATCTTCTTTTGTTGTCTGGCAAAAAGAAAGAAAAAAACACCTGATTTTATTTTATTTGATATTATTATCATTATTGTTATTGTTATCATTATCATAAATGTAAATACGTGTACATACAGCCATACATACAGCCGTACATACAGCCATACATACATACAGCCGTACATACATACAGCCATACAGCCATACATACAGCCATACATACAGCCATACATACATACAGCCATACATACATACAGCCGTACATACAGCCATACATACATACAGCCATACAGCCGTACATACAGCCATACATACAGCCATACATACATACAGCCATACATACATACAGCCGTACATACAGCCATACATACATACAGCCATACATACAGCCATACATACATACAGCCATACATACAGCCATACATACATACAGCCATACATACATACAGCCATACATACAGCCATACAGCCGTACATACAGCCATACATACATACAGCCATACAGCCATACATACAGCCATACAGCCGTACATACAGCCATACATACAGCCATACATACATACAGCCATACATACATACAGCCGTACATACAGCCATACATACATACAGCCATACAGCCGTACATACAGCCATACATACAGCCATACATACATACAGCCATACATACATACAGCCGTACATACAGCCATACATACATACAGCCATACATACAGCCATACATACATACAGCCATACATACAGCCATACATACATACAGCCATACATACATACAGCCATACATACATACAGCCATACATACAGCCATACAGCCGTACATACAGCCATACATACATACAGCCATACAGCCATACATACAGCCATACAGCCGTACATACAGCCATACAGCCATACATACATACAGCCGTACATACATACAGCCGTACATACAGCCATACATACATACAGCCATACATACAGCCATACATACATACAGCCATACATACAGCCATACATACATACAGCCATACATACATACAGCCATACATACAGCCATACAGCCGTACATACAGCCATACATACATACAGCCATACATACATACAGCCGTACATACAGCCATACATACATACAGCCATACAGCCGTACATACAGCCATACATACAGCCATACATACATACAGCCATACATACATACAGCCGTACATACAGCCATACATACATACAGCCATACATACAGCCATACATACATACAGCCATACATACATACAGCCATACATACATACAGCCATACATACAGCCATACAGCCGTACATACAGCCATACATACATACAGCCATACAGCCATACATACAGCCATACAGCCGTACATACAGCCATACAGCCATACATACATACAGCCGTACATACAGCCATACAGCCATACATACATACAGCCATACAGCCGTACAGCCATACATACATACAGCCATACATACAGCCATACAGCCGTACATACAGCCATACAGCCGTACATACAGCCATACATACAGCCATACAGCCGTACATACAGCCATACAGCCATACATACATACAGCCGTACATACATACAGCCGTACATACAGCCATACATACATACAGCCATACATACAGCCATACATACATACAGCCATACATACAGCCATACATACATACAGCCATACATAAATACAGCCATACATACAGCCATACAGCCGTACATACAGCCATACATACATACAGCCATACAGCCATACATACAGCCATACAGCCGTACATACAGCCATACAGCCATACATACATACAGCCGTACATACAGCCATACAGCCATACATACATACAGCCATACAGCCGTACAGCCATACATACATACAGCCATACATACAGCCATACATACATACAGCCGTACATACAGCCATACAGCCATACATACAGCCATACAGCCGTACATACAGCCGTACATACAGCCATACAGCCGTACATACAGCCATACATACATACAGCCATACATACAGCCATACATTACATGTAAATATATAAATATTTTATTATTATTATTATTTTTTGTCTGCGTGTTTGTTCATACAAAACCCACTCAACTTTTGTTTGTTAATTTAAAAAATTAAAAATTAAGCATTTTTTGTTTTATTCTTTTTTTTTTTTGTTTGTTTGTGGTTGCTGCTGCTTTTGTTTTTGTTGTTGTTTTTGCGTGCGTGTGAAGAATAATAAAACAAAAAAGGAAAAAAAAACCAAATTCATCGCCGTCTTAAACAAAAAAAAAAAAAAAAAAAATAAAATAATGAAATAAAAACAAAAATGTTTCGACATGTCACCGCCTCACTTCTTCTCTTTTTTGTTCCCCTGCCCTGCCCTCCATTGGTATCATGCCACTACAAACAATTGTACACACGCACACATAATCTCTCTCTCTCTCTCTCCCCTTCCCTTTCTTTCTATCTTCTCTTCTTTTTATTCCTCTGTTAATGTATCCTTTTTTTTTTTTGTTTCTCATGTCTTCTCAAAATAATTCGATGGCTCGCCACACGCCAGCCGCCATCGCAGAACACATCCGCACCCCAACCAAGCAGAGATGTCAAAAAAAAAAAAAAAAAAAAGGAGAACAGAATAGTAAAAAAAAAAAAAAAAGACCACTGGCTTCCCCCCTTTCCCTGGAGAAAGGAAATTACCGTGTTGTTGCTTCTTAGTCTTTTTCGCTGCGTTTACTTCATTGTGGTTCATTTGATTCATGTTTCTGTCTCCTCTCGCCCCCGCTTCTTCCCTTCGCTCCTTCACCTCCTCGACCTCTGTCATCGTTGTTGTTAATCGCTCCCACAGACACTCACCCACACAGATGGAAAGACTGACATGCGTGCATCCTTTTTTCCCCCTTTCCGTCTGTGCGTGTCCATGCGTGTGTGTGAGTACGTGGGGCCTGCGGGGGGAGCGTCACGAAAGGCGCGACAACGTCCCCACCGCCACCATCACCATCGCGAGTGTACACGAACGGAGGGAGAAAAAAAAACAAAACAAACAAACAAAAAAAAACAACCGCTTTGGCTCTTTTTGTTTCAATTCAATCTGCCGTGCACACATATATGTATGTATATATACAAAAGATGTTCTTTTTTTTTTTTTTCTCAGTCATTCCGGCAAGAAGCAAAAAAAAAGAAAAAAGAAAAGGAAAACAGGAGGAAAAAACATCAATAAAACACACACACACACAAAAAAAAAAGAATCATGAGCACTAACGAGCGAGAAGGAACAAAAAGAAAGAAAGAAAGAAAAAATCCTCAAAAATAAGAAATGATGAAGCAACAAAAACGACAACAAAAAAAGACAATACGACAGAAGAAAAGGCAAGAGAGAAAGACAAAAAACCAAAAAAAAAGAGGATAAAGAGTAAAACACTTAAGAAAAAATGAAAATGAAAGAAAACAAGAAATATCTGCCCTACGCTTACACAGGTCAAACGCTCCTTTCTTTTTGATTTCTTGCAGGTTTCTTGAGTGATTTCATCAATAAAACACGCCACGCCCTTCTACGAAAACGGAACAACCGTAAAGGGTTGCGACTTCGGTGGCGGCAGTGGTGAGGCGTACCCCACCTCCGGTGGCCACAGAAGGCTGGACTGTGCGGCAAGGGCAAAGTCAGATGGACGCAAGTTCACAGCGTTCGAGGCCAGCATCAGCTGCTGTCCGTTTTCCAGCACAATCATAACGGGCGGGTCATCTTTATTGCTGTTAGCTCGACGCACCGGTGGGGACCCTGGAGGACCCACCTTGCAGGACGCATCCAAAGTATCCATTGGAAGAGGCTGGGACTGCGGAGGTACAGAGAACATGGGCGGAAGTGCTGCCGAGCCCAACAGTGTAGGCGGCGGTGGAGTGAACACGTTATCTGGTACCTTGTGAGCCGAAGATGCGGTTGACGAGGTATCACTGCTTAGGTTTGGGCCCAGTGAGCATGATGTCGAATCCCGAGAAGGCGTGAGCTCACGAGGACAGGCAGCAACAGTTATATTGCCGTTGTTGGAGAATGCTGTGGCAACATCCATACAATTGCACTGATGCACCTCTGGGGCTGCGGTTTGACGAGGTGGTGGAAATACACAGACACTACGTGGAGGAGGTGCACGGGGAACTTTGCCCTCTTCGCGGCGGCGGCGGCGCTCTTGTTTGGCCTCATCCGTGTCAGCGTACTTGACCATCACTGGAGGACCATAAAAGTGTTCTGAACTGCCGTGTAGCCTTTGGAGGGCATTCTTGGAACAGCTAAGGCAGTCGTACTCGGCGTAGACAACCCATACAGGGTTACCGTAATGGTCCTCACGCATGGCGCAGAAAGCCAAGGTGCCAAAGGTCGATAAAAACCTCTCCACCTGCGCCTGCGGAACCGTGATGGGAATGTTGCGAATGTACAGAGCATTAGATGGAGAGACAGCGGCCCTTCCACTATGCTGTGAGGGGTAAATTATCAAATTGAAGTTGTGGCGACATGCTCTAGTGCTCTTTCGGTTAAGGTCATCGTACGCCCTCTTCCCTTCTTCTTCGGTTCTAAAGAGCACAAAACCAAAGCCTTTACTCCTCCCTGTGGAGGCATCCAACATCACCTTTGCGCTGACAGGACGATACTCCGC